TTCGTAACAGGCCATCTCTCTGCCTCAGCCTTGGCCCTCGAGCTTGCAGCCACAGGAGCAGCCTGCTTCTGCTGGTCCTGAGCTCCTCTCTTCTCTCTCTCCAGGCTGGTCCGGGAGTTCATGGCCCAGAACAACACCGTGCAAATCAAACATGTGATCCAGACCCTGTCTCAGGAGTTTGCCCTGTCTCAGCACCCCCACAGCAGGAAAGGGGGTCTCATCGGCCTGGCCGCCTGCTCCATCGCACTGGGCAAGGTGGGCCTTTCTCCTGGAGGAACAGACACACCAGCCATGGCCTTGACTCTGACCCAGCAGGGTTTTACAGACCTGTCATTTTTCGCCATCCTCTCCACACCTCAGGCCAGCAAGGCTGGCTCTCTGGCCTTGCCGCCTGGTACTTGGGCATGGCTCCTATGCTGGGAGGCTGACTTGCGGAGGGTCTTTTAGCCCTGCCCTCACACAGAGGCCTGAGCATCTCCGTGGGAGCTGGGGGCTGGGGCCTGGGGCCTGGGGCCTGGGGCCTGGGGCCTGGGTTCTGATCCAGTCTGAGCTGCTTCTCCTCCTGTTCCACTGCAGGACTCGGGGCTCTACCTGAAAGAGCTGATCGAGCCGGTGCTGACCTGCTTCAATGACGCTGACAGCAGGCTGCGCTACTACACCTGCGAGGCCCTCTACAACATCGTGAAGGTGGCCCGCGGCGCCGTGCTGCCCCACTTCAACGTGCTCTTTGACGGGCTGAGCAAGGTGACCGCTCCTCACTCTAGCTGGGCTGAGCTCGTCCCACCCACCTTTTTCCCAGAGGCAAGCGGAGCAGATCAGCACCAGCTGCCAGGGAGGCTTGTTGTCTGTTGAATCTAATGATACATGTTTTAAACGGGCTTGTATTTATGTTTGTTTCCCCCCCCCATATCTCTGTTAGCTTATTTTTTATTGCATTTCATTTTATGAAAGCATCAGTCCACCAGGAGCTGGAGAGTCAAAAAGCAGTCATTTGAAAAGCACTGTGGATGCTGCACACCAGAAACTGAAACATTGTAACTGACTATACTTTAACTAAAAAAAAAA